CATCCCCCCCTCGCACGCGAGACAAATCCCGCAGACCCCCCTCCCTTGTATCCTATCTTCTGCATTCTGAGTTTAATCTTCTCTGCCGCGAATCGTATCCTCTACGAGGATCTAATCCTCTGCATCTCTCGATCCCTCTGCTGTATCTTCTTAATCATTCGTCCCCTTTGCCGAGAGCTCCTCTGTGAAGCTTCTAAGAGGCCGAAAATATTTCTAAGGGAGAAAACTCTGCTATTTTTCTTTCTCACTCACTTCTTTGATCTTCTGTTGCTTGAATCGGTTTCCTTCTGCTGTTGGGAGAGGAAGTGAAGTTGTGGAGTGCTTTTAAAGTTTCTGTGTTACTTTCTTTTTGCTTCAAAGAGGTATCTTCTTCCGCCTCCTGTGCATTGCTTCTTTTCGGTCTTCCCTCTGCTGAGCCTTTGAGCTTGGTGCGGTGGATGGTATAGCATGCTTGCATGACATTACACTTTTTTTTTTTTTTTGAAATACTTGGTACTCAAGCATTTAGAAATGGAAATGTGAGCATGTTCTAGGAGCTAGACTTGATTACTTGCTTAAAGTGGTGAAGCTATGACATGTTTCTATTTATCATAGCATATTTCTATGGGAAGCAAATCAGAACTATTAGAATGTGGCTTTGAGACAACGGTAGCTCCTCTTGCAAGCATGTTGAGATATGTATCATGAGGCTTTTCATTTATTCTTATCTAGCATGAGACATTGGAAGGTTTATTTGGTCTTTCACGCATGTAGGGGGCTCGGTTTTGGCTTCCTGTGGCTTTCCCTTACTCGAAATGCATGCTAGGAAAAAGTTTATATTGGTTTGATAAAGTTCTACAGTTGTTCTTATTTGAAGCATGTGGTGGCCCTATGTTGAAGGCATTAAGGTGTTTTTCTAACTGTTATGGTTGTCTGATTTTGAGCCTTAGCTGCGGCTTGATTTTTTTTTGGCCCATGCTGGTTTTCGGTTTTCTCAAGGATGACTGGGTTTGGATTTATTGCCATAAATTGCATTTGTGGCTTACAAAATTTTGGTTTCTAGCCTCCATTTGGGCTCGGTTTTCACCTTGAAAGGGCATGGGATGTTGGTTTTATTGAGGCCTGGTTTTTGGTTTTGGTTAAAATATTGTCCTAACTGTTTAAGCTTCATGTATGGGCTTTGAAAGGTTTGCTTTTGGCTTTGTTCGGGGGCTCGGTTTGCTTGCCTTGACTCCTGTCCGAGAGCCTGTTGCGGTGTTTGTTC